TAGGACGTCTTGCTTACGGGCAGCGGGATTTCAAGTAATCTGTTACAGGGCAAGACTCGACTTGCCTGCCTGCACACCACCGCTCTTGGCTGCGCCCTCCCCACCATCCCAGGAGGCCACGTCCTCCCAGCTCTCCCACAGGTCCTTACCCGCGTGCGGTCTTCGATGCTGTAGATCCGGAGCTGCATAGGGATGTTGAAGCTGTGTAAGAAGTTGCCTCCAAAAACCAGTGTGTCCATGGGAGTATACACAGCATGGATCCAACCTTGGAGAGAAAGCAGAGTTTGAAGAATCCTTCTGAGCAACTAGGTGAGATCAAGGTCTCACAACTGACCGTCCCTACTAATTCCAATTCCTCTGCAATCTCTTACTGTGCTCTTCAGAGCGGGGCTCTCAAATCTACGCAAGCTTCATGCTGCTCAGCTAAGTCCACCCTGACAGCTGCACCCTTAACCTGCCTCCAGGTTAGCTGCAAGCACACAGACCCCTTGTCACGTCAGCCAGCCCTGGAAGCAGCAGGGGGCTAGGATGGGACCACGTAGACTCTTTGAGCAGGGCGGACATTGCTGTATTGTAGCAACAATGCCCACCCCTCCTGAAGCGTCACAGCTGAATTACTCAATACCCAGCTCACTTGACCCATCTAAGAGCTAGAGACGGATTTGTACTTAGGCACTTAAATACCCCTGTGGGCCTGGTCTTGCATCCTCCCATGGCGGCACACGTGCCAGCTTCCACCTCCTGCCCACAGCTTTTTGTCACCCTGGTGTCTCTCTGAAGTTGCTTCCTGGCTGCATTAAGCCTAAGAACACCAGCAGCAAGGAAAACAGTCTTCCAAAGTCTGTTCAACAATTGAAGAACTCTCAAAGCAACTCTAGTCTCAGTTATCTCCAAGGCAATCCAGCCAAGCCCAACATTTTGGGAATTCCAGCGTGGGTTTCCTTAGGGCAAGGGTGCTCAATTCAAAAGAAGCGTCGGCCGTGGTATCAGGATACAAAGGAGTGACTCGTGCAGTCCCTGGTGCTTTTTGTTCTTGGTCTTGCTGTGAGCTACAGGGGTACACGTGTACAACACAGCTTATTCCTGCACTGCTGTCGGGAGATGAAAAAACAGGCTACAGCATCCTTTGCCATCCGAGACAGTTTTACGGACACAATTTTTACGCAACAGCTTTATTAGAGGCCTTGAAAGGGGTCCAACAATCTTCCACCTTACAAGGAGAAAGGAGTATTCCCTAGTGCAAGCACAACATTTTGCAGGCAACCCAGGTCTGCATCACATCCTAAAAAGCTGCGAGCCAGTCCCTGCAAACAACCAATTTGAGCTGCTGTTTCATCTGCCTCATCTGTTCTGCCTTTGCTGTTTTCTAGCACAGCACTGTACTGGGCATGCAAGACGTTGCTGACGCCCTCCAATTATTCTGCTTACTAATTTAAGTCAGGCTAAAGATTCCTCTTAACTCTTGAGAGTGTTCCCACTCCCAACCTCAAAGTCTCCCCACCCAAGCCCTCTGCAAAGCAGTTACCTGCAAGCCTCTCCACCTTACTGCTTCCCAGCTCCTTACTGGGTTTCAGCAATTTCCAACATCCGCTTCTAGCTATGTGCTTTCCAGTTCTCCTATTATGTAGACTTTGGTTGTCTTTCCTCCTGTCCAGAGCAGTCACCTCGGTCCTTAAACTCACACACTGGCTCCCTTCCTTGCTTCACAATTTGAACATAACTCTGCAGAGACTTCACAGGAGACCCAGGACGCTGAGGAGCTGTCCTGCCTTGGGCCAGCCTCTGTCCTCGAGGTGCACTGGTCCGCATGTCAACATGTCTGGCTCTGGGGAGGCCTCCTTGATCAACTGATCAAGCGTGATGTGAGCCAGCCACAGCTTTCCTGTTGCTTGGGCTGGATCTGCAGTGCCATGACAGGCATGTTTTGGGAGCTGGCAAGCAAGAGGACGAAGCCACATCGCACCTCCCTCTTCCAGTTACTCACGAGGGAGAAAACTAAACCCTGCCTGTTCTGATCTTGCTTGTGCCCCACAAGTTTCACCACAACCTTGGCAAAGCCAAGGACATGCCTGCCCACCCTGCGGTACCTGAGGGGATGACAAACGTGTAGCCCTGCTTGAGCTCAATGCGCTGGCACTCTGACACTCTATCCCCAAGAAAAATATCTCCTTGCTTCCCTGAGAGAAGCCAGTTTTCATAGAGCTCCAGGTTCTGGGGCGTAGGAGGGATCAGCCAGAAGATCTGCAAGTAAAGACAACACATGTATGTAAGTCATCACGTAATTAACAGCAACCGACTACCCTCCTGCTTCTTCCAAACCATCCCTGCTCCCTCTTCAGACATCTAAATCTCTTCCTCTCCCCACCCACAGAGGATGCAAATCTCCAGAAGTGACCTAAACTGTCCCATTTGAGAGGGCAAGCTGCTGAACAAGGTCCTTCCTGACCCGACGCACTCAGCACCACCACAGGCAGACTGAGCTTGGGATGCTTTGTAAGGTTTTATTTACACTATCAGTGTGAGGAGACCCAGAGCCCACTGAAGACACCAGAACATTCAAGACAAAGGAGGTGTTTACCTGGGTGTTTCTGTCACGCCAGTAAGAGCTATAACTGAACTAGAGATCTGCACCTGTCTGGCTCCATGCAATGCAGGTGGCACGTAGATACCCATCCCCAACTAGGCTCTTCAGGGACTGTTAGCTCGTCCTTTGGGGGAAAGCACTGGAGCCACAAACCATTGGAATCGCTGGAGAAGTCTGGCAGCTACATCTCCTTTGCAAGGGAAGGTGGGTGAAAAGCCCAAATTCTTCAGGTGGGGCAGAGTTTGCTGCCTTCCCTGAAACTAGTCTACGTGGAGAAAGATTGGATGGAATAATTGCCCAGGACTTGTCCTAAAGAAGCGGAGGGTTTTTTTTCCCTAGAGCTCTGCCTTTACTGACTGTTGGAGTGAGCCCGCCCAGCCGCCTTCACGGACAGTTCCTTCACAGCAGTCATGAGCGAAAGGGCTCCCTATCCTAAGGCTGTCCAAGGCTCTTTCTCAGGAAATGTCCAACCACCCCAGGCAGCCTTTTTTACCTCCTGGCTCCTTGATGAATTCAGCCCTAGACGGCTGATGGTTTTCATCAGAAACAGTGAAGCCTCCTCTAATTGCTCACAAGGATTAAGTTAGGGGCTAGGTGCATTCCACTGGACAAGAGGTGGGACCTGCCTTTGATAAATTCTGCGCTACAGGATACCTTCCTCCACATTAGCTTTTCCTAATAATACTAAGCTGAGTGACCACCAGATTTTGCTGCTCTGACCACATCGGTTCAACTGTACTATGATGAGTGTCTGCATCGCTGCCCTCCCCAGACAGCAGTACGAAATTTCCTCGACTACAGTAGAGCTGACAACTAGCAGCTAGCAAAAATTTGAATACGAGCTCTTCCACGCTGTTGTGGTGGTAATGCTAAAGCATAGACCGAGTCCCGTGACAATGGGCACGTCCACCCAACGACAGTCAGAGAGGAGGCTTTCCCAGCAAGGACTTCATATTGACCAAGGGTCATGCTCTGAACATGACCACGCTCTCTAGGGCGGTGGAAAGGCTACCCAGGGTGTCTGACTTAATTGTTCAAGCACTAGCTAGCCCCGCCAGCGATACAGCACCCAAACTCTTACCAATCTGTTTTGTGAAAGAGAACCAATACAACACCCCACCTCTAAAGGGAGCTTGAGGTGCAGCTCACCCAGCCTAAGGGCAAGCGGGAGGACTGGCACCTTCCCAGAAGCCATTTCAAGAGAGATTTCTTCCATGCCAGGCCCCGGTACAACATACAGCTGGGGTGACAGATGCCTGGCACAGGGAAATCCCGGCACAATTGTAACTGGAAGACACCCATCAGGGAACAAACATTTGACTCTGATGAAGTCTGTAACCAGATGAACTCAAACTCGATGGAGTTATGGGTACAAACTGAAACATAAGAGGTTTCAGCTGAACCTGAGGAAAAACTTCTTTACTCTGAGGGTGACAGAGCACTGGAACAGGCTGCCCAGGGTGGCTGTGGAGTCTCCTTCTCTGGAGATATTCAACCCCTGCCTGGATGAAGTCCTGTGTAACGTGCTCTAGGAGAACCTGCTTTAGCAGGGGGGTTGGACTGGGTGATCTCCTGAGGTTCCTTCCAACCCTTGCCATTCTGGAATTCTGTGAGCTTGGGGTTCAGTTTTCGGATCTTGGGCTGAGCTCAGCTACAGGAAGTGGCTCCAGACAAGCAGCTCAAATCTGACACGGTTTCAGAGCTACTTCTCAACAGAAACCATTCAAGGGGTTTGCAGTGAAGACCTGTCACTAACCTTCAGTTCAAAGGCTTCTGCTTTTGAAATCACTTGACATTTTAAGGTGATCCCTCACAAATCTGTTGGCTATTTAAAAAACCCTGGACAGCTTCGCTTTAGGAAAAGCTCCCATTCATCTTCAATTACCTTTCCTCCATGTGCTGCTGCTCCCAGTGTGCTATTTGTGCCACACCATGAGGTGATCAGCCACGCGCCCAAATGATCTCTCACAAGCCCAAGGCACTGGATCAATTGGGTTACTCTACCTTACGTCATTTAGCCATTTAGAAGGTTGTCTCAGCATCATCTCTACAGCATGGGTTTTCAGCCTGTGCCTGGTGGACCTCTGAGGGCCTGAACTACTTCCCAGAACCACAGATAAACAAGTTTAGGGTGGATAGACTTCTTGGACCTGCACCTTCAAGGACTGACAAGAGAATAGACTAAAAGCCACTCCTAAAGCATCCGTAACTTTCCCAACAGGGATTGTCCTCCTACCTTTCCCCCTCGGTGGATGTGGTACCACACAGAAGTACCACCGAAGTCCACGTGGAAATCTGTGTAGCAGCCCTTGACACTCATCAGACAGTATCTGGTGGAAAACAAGATAAGGTGAAAATGAGTGGTGATCCACATTTGAGAGCAGATACGAAGTGTTCAAAGGGAATAGGCTGCCCAGACCCAGGCCAATGGCTCAGAGCAGTGCCAGAAGCCAATTACTGCAGTGCTAAGCACTTTAGCTGCAGGGAGGTGGTGGTTTGCAGGAGAGCTCACTTTGCTTTTGGATCACATCCCCACAAAAAGATCTAGTCCAGGCAAGAGGAGAGCTTTCATCCTCACGCAGGCCCCCCATGTCAGAGGTCTGGCCTACGGGGCAGGACGGGCAGCGCCTAGCAGCTCAACCGACTCCAGATGTCTCAAGGTGGTGAGCACCGAGAGTTTCCCCAAAGCACAGTGAGCTCCTAGAAGCCACGCGACTACCCTTCCACACAGCGTTCGGCAGGGGCTTAAATAACTAACTGCAGTGTCCTTGCAAGTGTCAACCGCTTAAATAAACAGGGAGACTGTTCCTTCTGCTTCCCCTTGGTACAACTGCATCTCCCTCAGGCAGTTTTCTTGCAAGAGATGTTTTGCTGCCTGCCACCGCTGGAACAGCTCAGGAAGTCACTTACTTCTGCACCTTTGGATACTGCATCTCCAGGATAGCATTCGTAGACTCTGTCTGACTCTCCTTCAGGTGTCTGGGCCACATGTTATCAACCCAGTCAATCAAATCCACCTACAGCAGAAAGGTGGGAGACATGAGTAGAGATGAGAGGGGCACAGTAACCCCTTTCGCTACCCCCAGGCTGTCCTGGAAGCTCAAACACCTATTGCCTGCCTGCTGAGCCCACAGCTCACATATGGCTGGGCAGCTGTGGGATGCAGGGTTGCACTGGGCCCACCAAAGCCACTGCGGTGCTGCGCACAGACTGCCGGCCACCCCAGCTGAGAGCAAGGAAGGGAGGGAAGCCCTGGTGTAAGCTAAATTACTGTGATTCCCCCCCCCCTTTTTGGCCTCTCCATTCCCAGCAACCTTCCTGACCACACATGTAAAGCACTTTGGACCGGTTGTTGTGTGAATTCAGAGGCTCACTGTACAAAGAGCAAACACCACAGCAAGACCCCAAGCGGGGTACTGGGATGCTGGTCTTCTACTTAGGGGCTAAGGCAGGAACTGCTATGCTCATATAAAAAACAAGCTGGGCAGCATCTGCCTAGGGTGGGATTCAACTTACTAAGCTTCAGGACAGCCAGAGCAAGCAGAGATGTCCGGGCTCCCTCTACAGTTATCAGAGAGAAATGAATGGCCCTACAGAGCTGCCCCTTCCTCTCCACGGGCTGCAGAGGGAGTTTGGGATGTCCATCCCAGCTTCCACACTCCAGGAAGTTTTCCCCCTGCCAAACAGCCTCCTGCCCCGCTTCCCACACACCTCCAGTCTTGGCCTCCTCTGCCCTCAGAGATTTCGGCACTTTGCGTTAGAAACCCCCTCTGCCAAGCTGCACGACCCTCTGGAGTCCCAGCTGAACACAGGGTTGCTGTCCTAACGGGACCATGGTTTCCAAACACCAAGGAAACCACAAAGCTCAACCAGCATCCAGGCTTTAGCTACCCTCTCAAAATGCAGCAAGCATTGCTGAGCTCTGCTGCCTGATTTAGGCCCTGCTGCAGTTTTACACCTGGCCATGCGTTGTGGCAAGCCACCCCTGCCCTGCCCCTCCTCTTTGGCCACAACGGAGCCGAACACCGCTGCGGGATGCAGGAGAGGGCTCTACACCAAGCATCAGAGCAGAGCAGTGCACAGCACAGAGGGAAGGTAAGCCCAAGGCTGAACAACAGCCAAGGTCTTGGCAGGCAGTGGAATCGGTTAACTGGGAGGGGCTGGAAGCCAGCGCCCCCATCCTGTCCCCAACACTCACTGTGGCTGAGCACAAATCTGACTTCTCTACGCAAACTCAGGTGCTTGTTCAAACTTTGTGCCTGTTCTTGATCACCAGCCAGCAGGAGCAGGTTACTTCACTCTAATTATTCCTCAGCCAATCACTTCCATTTCTCGAACTGCTGGCAGCTAGTCAACAAGACAGCTCTCTGCAGAATGACAGCCAGGGACTTGACTGCGGTCACTATAGCCGAGATCCAGATGCGTAGGCCGGGCAGCCCCAGCCTGACTGCAAGATCAGCTACAGCAGATGAGGTCCGACTCAAACACAGGATCAGCTCCAGCAGCTCCCAGAGCACAGCAGTGATGTCCCTGGCTGAGCCCATGCATGTTACGAGCAGCCCCCCTCCTCCCGCGTTCAAGTGCCAGGCTGCACCTTGCCTATGGAGGACCACAAGCACGAGGGAAAGGACATTCCTGCAGAAGGAAGAGCCACGCTCACCGTAGCAGGTCTCTGCACCAGGTTCTCCAGTTTGGTGTGGCTGAACTCCAGGCTGATCACATTATAAAGTTTCTCCCGCTCGGCCTCCGGTGTTTCATAGTAGCGTGCCCACTGCGCCATGGACATCTCAATATCCCTCTGCGTGTTCACATCCATGACATCCACCATCCGTCGGCTCCCTGCCAGAACAGACAGACATCACTGGAACTGTCCCTGTGCACAGTGGACCACCCAGAAGAGACACTTCAGGAGACATGGGACCCTTCCTCAAAGAACCCATCCACCCATGTGTGACGCCTTGGCCTCTCCCATACCCGCATCTTCTTCCATACCCACACCGAAACAGAAGCTGCTTCAGGTCAAACTAGACTCCTCAAGCAGGCAAGAGTTGTGATCCACTGGCAAAGGATGGCTCAGGTTTCAACCAGCTGCACACTGGGGGAGCCCCAAAGCCCAACCTTTAGCTTTGATAAACCCGATGACTCTCCCCATTGCTCCCTGTCTGCCCAGGGCGCCGCAGGAGCGCACTGTGGTCCCCAGACACTTACTTACCAACACACAGCCGCACATCATTCACGCTGAAGTCCGGATCTGGCATCCTGCAGGACAAAGACCTTGCTAAAGAAATCATGAAGTGCTTCTGGTTGCAGACCCTTCCCACCAGTAACCCCAGTATTGACACCTTGAAGATACTACTGTGTTGCTTTTCACCTCCTGAATGAGGGTGGAGACCACGCAACTAGGTGTCTGGGGGCACAGGCCTGGGGTACAACACTTGGACCTAACTTCTGGCTATGGAATTTGGGAATAGGATACACCATCTCCAGCACATGATGTTGTACAGTGGCTTCCTGCAAATGAGCAAGCAGGCCTTGAGCTAAGCAACCCTAGCTCTCATTTTAAAGACTGCTCGTATGAGTTATCCCAATGTAAAGGGCACAGCCAGACCAGTACAAGCAGTAGATTTCACCGACACAGCATAACTACTCTAGCTGTTTGTACTGGCATACTTATCTGCACAAACACTGCTGTCACAGGCAGAACGGGCAGGCAGCCGTTCAAGCAGCTCTTGACCCAGAGAAATAACCAAAAACTCAGGAGAAATCCAGCTTTGCCCCCGCTGTAATCCTCAGTATCAAATCTGTGCCCTCCCAAGTCACCCAGCAGGAGCCTGGCATGATTTCTGATCTAATTCACCACGGTACAGTACATCGTGCACTGGATGAGGTGCTGCCCGTCCCTTCACAGCCAGCTGAGGAAGTAAAGAGCAGTGTTGCTTGATACTGGCTCTGACAAAGTTTGCTAGGGCTAATTTATTCCTCTAACTTTCGTACTAATTGCAACCAAAAAACACCAACCCAGCAGAAACACTGGATCAGATAATTTTTTTTTTTTTAATTTTGTAAGACAGCTCTAATGTTTTGATGTAACATTACTTGCCTTAAACCTACATCTACCACCCCATAGCATATTTATACGGACGTTATAAACCAGCACAAAGTCCTGCATCAGTACAGCTTTACACTCCAAGCTATAAACCTTCATTGACTTATTGTAGCAAGAGAGAAATGGCAGTTTAGAAGTAACCATGTTGGGCAAATCAGGTTGGAATTCTGGAAAATGCCAGAAATACTACAAATTGCTTGAGAGTCTGGCAATAAATGCCTGTATTACTTGGAAAGAAGCGCAGCCAGATGTTGCATCAAAGCAGCAGCAGGACTTGCCAGACATTTGGTTGAATTGTGATCACCTACAGCCAATTCAGTCCTCTCATTTTAAGTCCAAACAGACTAAGCAAGAACAATATAACCGAGGTGGAAGATACTTCTCACTGCACGTAGAGAACAGTGCGGACAGAACACAGTCATACCGACTTGGCAGAGCACGGATCCAGCTACCAGGATCAGATCCCACACAATGTGGGGAGAGGAAAGACACCGGGTCAGAGTCATCCACCACTCTGTGCCCTGACACTTACTTTATTCCCAGGCCGTCAGAGCTCCTGAAGATGAGAGGGTCTCTCAGGCCGCCCCGCTGGATGTATTCAACTGTGAAGTCTGGTGTGGGGAGACAAGAAGAGGGCAGGGGTTAGGGGAGACTCCTTCAGTGGACTACGGACAAACTGAGGTTAGAAAGGATCTCTGGAGATCTCTAGTCCAACCCTGCTCCCGCAAACTGACTTCAGACTCAGACTGGGTTGTTCAGGGCCCTGTGTGGCTGAGACCTGAGAACCTCCTCCTATCTGTGGCAAGGCTAGCCTGTGAAAGAAAGCCCCGCTCCTCGCTGTTTCTACACCTCTTTGGAGATCCTGGAACTCCTCTGCGGCAGTTCTGTGAGCAGCATGGTGTGTGCTGCTGACAAGCCTCAGACAGGCCCCCCAGGGAGGGGGGGAAGTTTGCTCCAACAGGCTGCACCAGACAGGGGAACAGCATGGTTTTCAGTCCTCACTTCCCCAAGAAGCTCACAGCCAAGCAAGAGATGCCTTGAAGAAGTGCTCCTCCCTCCTGGTAAATCCTCATGAGGCTTGCACTGGCTGTGTGTTGAAAAGACATCCCACTGAGCCATATGCGTGGTGAAAGAAAGGGGAGAGATCCCACACAGTCTTTGAATTAAGCATCTAGTAGACATGTGGCTGCAATTACAGGTGCTGACCCAGGCAAACTCTCTTGCTCCTGGCTGCCATGTGTCCCAGCAAGCCTGCAGCACCGCAGACTGGCTCATCGCTCTCCAGACCAGGCAGCGTCCGTGCCATTTCCCACACACTCTCTCCCTGTTACTAGCTCCTCCGGCCCCAGGGCTCACCAGGCTTGAGCCAATTCCCCACCAGTATGCCTCGCATCGCCTTCAGGCTGCCTGGGGACTGCCGCAGGACTTGCAGGGGAGCAGGCAGAAACATCCCCTGCCTGCTCTGCAGCACTTGGGTTATGCGAGTAAAGCGGTTTACAGCAGAGGGAAGCACAGAACCGGCGTGAACAGCAGAGAGGGGAACTTCAGAGAAGGATGGGAAGTAAAAGGCAGCAAAACGCAGGACACTGGGAAAGGATTTCATGAACACCCCAACGGCCTTGTAACCGCCCTTCAAGTTGGCAGTCGGGGAGACTTTGGGTGTAGTCAGATGCACAAGAGCACGTCCAACAGTGACACTGTTAGTTTTCTACGAAAGGCTCAGGGAAAGGTCATCTCGCACACCGAAGCAGCCAACCGCAGCGGCTGTCCGGTTACTGACTGCAGTAGCACACACTGCAGCACAGCAGTCCCAACACAAACCTTTGCCTTCCATGAAGACCACGAAGGTGGAGTTAAACTTGTTGGTGGACAGCTTCTCCTCGAGGTCAAACGTCCTCTTCCCTTCAATTTCATCATCGGAAATGCCATCGTCTTCGTAACGCCGCCTCATCGTGCCACGCTGAGGAGAGAACAGACCAGGAAGGTAAGAGTTAGGGACGAGGGGGAACAACGAGCTCGCTTCCCAGAGCCTCATCTCAACCTGGCACAGCTCAGCCAGGGCCTCTGGGGGAGCCCTCACCCTGCAGCAGGCAGCCCCTGGGAAGCCTACGGGCTTCTAAGCCCAGAGAGAAGAGACCCCGAGTTATATTATCCACTAGGTCTCTTGCCCAAAAAGCACTGCCAGTATCAGTTTTCAAGCGAGACGTGCCAGAGAAGATCTATTTAGGCAACGTCTGCCCTGGATCCAAAGCACACCACTGAAACATCAGATTTGCTCCTCCTACAACCAACAGATCTGTGCAAGCTGGGCTGTATGGGAGACAGATAATTCACTCCTAATGAGCGCTGAATGCAGAAACACGGGGGATAGTTCAGTCTAACTGGGGCAAAGGAAAAAGAATCCGTTCCCCGTTTTTACAGGTCCGTCAGTATTTCACTGCGCTGGAGGTAGAGGCACTAGTGAATTTAAATCCCTGCTGATAAAGGAAGGGTTTTACGCGGAAGACAATTCTCAAGTTTTCATCTTTCACTATGCTTGTAGGCAAAAGTTGATTTATTCCCTTGTTTGCGTGCATGGGGGTAGCAGGGGGGGAAGTAACCCTTTTCTTAGAGGGTCTCATAAGTCCATCTGTACCGGGATTCCTGACAGACATCCTCTTCCAGCATTGCTGGATCTGGAAGAAATTACTGTCCCCAGCTGTTAGCCACCCCTCCAGAGACGAGCAGTCAGCTGTTCGTGGGAATACTCCCTAAATCCCTTCAGATAAAAGTCAGCCTGGTCTGAATTAGCCAGGCTGACTTCCCCCGAATAGGGATGCTCCCACTAGAAAGCGTTCACACCAATTGTGCCAGCAGACAGCCAGGGATGGGACGGGGCAGGAGGTGACGCAGCGGCTACTGTCACATCTGGGCCTGGAAGCTGGCACCTGCCCGCAGCAGGGAGGCACAGTGGCACTGGGGCCTCATCCCCAGCAACGCCACCGGTCCCAGCCACGGACCGTGATGCTGAACATCACCGTCGCCGGTGAGGTGACCGGTGTGCGCGCCTGCGCATCGCAGCCCCTGCGCCACCTCCTGCCCCGTCTCCTGCTGCCTGGCGCGGAGCACGTTTGATAGCTCCTTTCTTCCTTCTTTGAGGGTCTCCTGGAAAAGACAAGAGTGCCCTTTCCCACGCGAGGGCACACACCTCGCGCTCCCCTCCCTGTGGCAGCAAGCTGCAGATCTCCTCCCCAAAGTTCAGCGCCGATTTGGTCCCCACCCAAAGCCGCTCTCTCCTTACTTCTGCCTTCCTCACCCAGCCGGCCAGGGGTAAGGCAGGGCTTGCTCTCACCACATCCAGTCCCAGGAGGTACAAGCCCACCTTTTGGGTTTGTTTTGCCCCGAGCAGCCAGCCCTAGCCCTGCCTGGCCTTACTCACCTTCCCATTAACCCCCAGCCTGCCTGCTCCCCCAGCCCATCACACACTACCAAAGCCGGATCAAACGTGCCCGGGATATTTTCCGGTGAGTTACAGCCTGGTATTAGCCATCCCTCAGCCTGATCGCTACAGTGCTTTGCTCGCCCCTTCTCCTTTTTGGCCTTATCTATTTCAACAGCACCGGTGAAAGAGAAAGGACTCCCTTATAAAGATGCACTGCTTTAACGATGCTTTTAAAATGAATTATTTTAACCAGTGCAGGAACATGCGGGGGGACACTCGGTTGGAAAAGGGACTTCCCCCCCCCCTCCCAACCATCTAAGTTTAGCCTCAGGCTTTCAGGAAGGCTGATCAATTCACAAGCAGTTTCCCTGCCATCAAGGCAGAGCAGCTCACCTCTCCCTGCTATTAACACCTCATTAACTTTGCTTGGTTTTCCAACCACCCCCCCCCCAAACCTGAATACAACAGTGGCAACGAACACCCCATCTGCAGGACAGGAACAACAGGCTGCTCCTGAATGGGGCATCTCAGAAAGAGCCCCAAAAACAATGCCCTCCAAGGGCCCGTTCCAATGGCCCCTGATGATTAAACAATCTGGAAAAGGGTTTTGGGTTTGCTGTCCTTTGTCTTAAGCTACTCGCTAAACAGCAATAGCAAGCAGGAGTACTTTCTTTCACTGTTTTTAATAAGGCAAAGATAAAACTCATTTTACTTACAGGCTTTTATGGGCACATTTGTATAAACACACAGAGGTGGATTTAAAAAAAAAAAAAAAAACCAAAAATAGGCACAGGTCCTGGCAGGCTTCTGGGAGCATCGCTCCGGCACGCCGGGCTTCCACTGAAATCCCAGAGCTAAGCGAGGCTGGACCAGGCTTTGAGCTCCCGGGAGGAGCGGAGCCTCTCCCCACATCCACAACCCCCTCCCCAGCGCAGAACCTCCCGTCTCACCTCCGTGCTGGTGATCTGCAACAGAGCGAAAGAGCTGCCGGGAGGGATGGAGCCGGCCGGCCCTGGCACGGCCGCACCGCAAGATGCTCATGGTGAGAAAGGACGGAGCGGGAATGCTGCTGTTAGCCGAGGACCTTGCTTGGGTGCCTTGGGCGCTCCGCACGGACAGGCGGAGCTGTGCTGGCCCCACCTTTGAGGGGGTAGGAAGCCACACAACCAGCTCCCATAGATCTCAGCTCCCGTTAACCCACAGGAGACCTTGCTGAACTCCCACCAGGCAGCAGAGCGCACAGAAACAGCAGCCAGGCTGCTCACCTCTGGGTGCCGGAGCACCGGGAGCACCCGGCTCTTCTCCCTGTCACCCATCGGTCCTGCTCAGCTTCCTTCAGGAGGCCGGGGAGGGAGAGAGCCCTGACAAAACGTGCTCAGAGGTCTGCCAGGCAGGATGCAACCACGGCTTTCCCAGCCAGCCAGCGTGCAAGTCCAACAGGAGAAACCAGCCTGGCTGATTTCAGCTCCCCACATACCCACAGACCCTTCCTCACCTCCACTGGAGGCACGGGGGAAGCCCAAACATCCCCGTTTGCTGGACAACCACAATTCCCACCCCGGAACCATTTCTGCCCTGAAGAGTGCTGCGTAAGGGTGCAGGTGGCTTCGGTCATATGGGCACACACACACCAAGGAGACCCGATTTGTAGCTTCCCCTTTATATCTCTGTGCTTTTGGAGAAGCAAGAGGTCATGGTGCTTCCTTGTGCTTGTTTGGACCCTTAGCTGTGCAGGCCCTTTCCAGCTGAAACACATCTCAAATCCTGCCCTGGATGCTGTCGGACATCAGCTGCCTGTTGCAGTTCCTCCTGGGACACCTTTGACTGCTCTTACTGTTATAATGACAGCAGCTGCAGGAGACCTAAGATTATTTTGCAGGTTTTTCTTCCTTACTAAATCACACCAGGGAAGTTCAAGGTACACCTCGTCCAGGCAAGCACGCTATTAACCTTCCAGCATGACCAGTTTTTCACTTGTCCCCTTTCCCAGGCAAGCCTAGGAAACAAGGCCTAGGACTACTGGCCCCAGCAGGCAGTTCTCTGTCGTTAGGTTGATTAGAGGACGTGCGTAATGAAGCAGAGGATGCTGGGCCCTGTAGTCTGTAGGTCTCACCTGCTTTGGAATCAGGTGGGTGGTGGCACACTGCAGGAGCAGGCTCTGCTCTGCATTCTGACCTGCTCCCTTACTCCAGACACTCCTAGGTGGCAGGTTTTGGGAAAAGCAGCTCTCTTGCCTCCGCAGGGTACAAAACCTCGCAAGATGAAAAAGGCTGGCACGCTAAACGCTGGCTTAGAGGCAGCTATATCCAAACTAGTCTCTTACTAACTTATATTTGGCTCCCAGGCTGGAAGCCTGAACGGTATTTCAGGGCTCGTAGTTAAGCTACACAACAGGGGTCACCGCACTGGGCTGAAACTCAAGCGTGTCCCATTTGACCACAAACCTCTCACCTCGGGAGACCCGGGCTGGAATGCAGCTCCGGCCAGAGGCGCGATGACCGGCTGCGGCCCCGTTTCAAGCAGACATCTCTCACAGTGAAGAGCAGCACAGGCCAGCTGACAGCACTTGCTCAAGGGCACCAGCAGCCTGAAAATCTAGGTAGCAGCAAGGTACGGCGCAAATGCAGCGTGCAGGTGGATAACCAACGTGCTGGGAAAACCCCTCCTCTGCCGTCACCTCAGGGAGACCCTGGTGTCTGGCTGGCATGCTCAGATTTCCTTTATCCCGGTGGAACATCAGATGGCATTAGCTGGTTTGCTCCTAGCCGCTCTTCTACAGCTACTGCCAGGACAGGGAAGACAGGGTGACAACGCAGAAGTTGTACGTGGTTTAAGTATCACTACAGCATGGCTGATTAAGCATCCTTGGGAGCCTCCTCCGGACCACGACCGCTGCAGCCACACGACCGAGTACTAACCCAGCCCAAGCTCACTCCGACAGCTCCCTTCAAAATTTCCTTCTGGAGCGGACACAGTTACTGCCCTGCTAGACTGCATGCCACAGGGGCCCCCAGCCAGCACGGGCTCCGGATTGTGTAGGCCAGCTAATTTAACAGAAATGCGACCACATGGCCAGGCCCGCTCCAGATCCCACTGGTGCCGTAGGTGGATACTGCACTCGGGCTGGGGGTACGGTCCCACTAAGAAGCAGTCCCACCAGGACTGAACCACCCAGGGTGAACTGCCAGAGATGCTAGGCAAGAGCTCCTGCTCCCTTCCACATCCACCCCCTCCCTCCCCCGTGCCCCATCACCGCTGCTGCCCTCGTGGTGCCAGCTCTAGCGCTCGGTCACTCCAGTTCGAATTTTGGGCTGCAAAACCGCTTTGCATCGGTTAATTCTGAGCACAAATTACAGCTTTGAGGACAGATCCCACTGCCACCCTAAGGGAACATGCAGCAGATGATCCGGTCACTCACTAACAAACTCGGAGGCTTTAGGACCAAAGGAACACAACAGGTTTCGGAGGATGCTGCCCGTCCCGCGTTACACAAAACAGCAGCAATGCAGTCTTCACCTTACTCCAGCTAGAACCACCCA